TAAGGCAATAAATATACTCAAGTGTGATAAACATTTTTTGAATTTGTTACGCTACCTACCATCTGTTTATAATTTATTTTTCGAGAATGTGTCGCCTGAAGACCATTGTCTTCTAGACCCTCACAACCTCACACATGTGACATAACAAACAACCAAAAACACATTCAAGAAGATCGATTACCTATTTAAATATAATATATACTTTTTAAACTTGATAATATTTTTTCAAGGCAATATCTAAGAGCAATTATTGTTGTATCCTATTTCTTATACTATGTATTTATAAAATAATACCCTTATTTAATTCAAATATTATTGTTTTAAATTTCTTAAACTTGACTGGTAACCTACTGCAGTAGGAACATTTTATACATATCGAATTAGAAAAAAATCAGCGTCCAAAGAGTAAAGTCAATTTAAATTTGTTTCATAAAAGCTATCAATAATTATAGGTATCTTTACACCTATACGGATACCGGATAAGTACCTACTCAATTTCAGATTTACTTGTGATGGACTTAAATTTAACACATCCATAACAGTCACACTGTGAAATCAGCACCTACTTATAGTGAGACTTTACAGGTATTTTTCTTTCATTATTATATAAATATATAATGGGTCGGCACACATTTAAGACTACTTGAACAAGTCAATAATAATAGTTAATACTATTATAGGCAATAAAAATCATTGTGTACCACTGTAGCCTCTCAAAATGATGGACGACAACTACTGTAATGTCATGAGATAAGTTAGCAGTACAACTTGTCATAGTTAGTATGGACAATACAAATGTAACATCTTAAGTAGACAGTTGAATGTAACACTGTAAAGCAATAGAATAAATAATAAAATGAATAAAAATCAAATTGCACCTATATATCTGTAGGCACACACACCAGCAATGATTTCGTGGTATTGTAAGTATCTAAATGTTAATTTATTATCGTAGTCAAAGCTGTGACAGTAACTTTGACTAGGAAATCAAATCTACTCCGATGGTTCCAGAACAACGTGCACATATGTGTATTTTCAGAACCATGTGTACCATATTATATAGAACGGTAGTAAGCGATTGCCGGCTAATTATTGTTCGAAATGTATTATAATATAGCTGGTAAATGACCTTGAAAAAAAACTATAAGATTAAAAATGTTGATGATAATTAAAATAATATAAAATATATGACGGTCTACAGATGTGCGTACGGTATATCTACAGCGTATAATTATCGGTTACCAGCTATAGATAGTGTATTACTGATATTAAATAATATAATTTGAAACTTAAATAAGAAGTATGGAACATATTTTATTTTTAAATGATATATACGTAGAGTTAAAAAACGTTTAATTCAGCCAATCTATATATATATATATATATCATATATTCATATCTATGATCTTTATATGTATATAATTTAATATGTACCCATAGACTGACTGACTGATCAACGTTGAGCCTAAACTATCATAGCTATAGACTTGAAAGGTACTACTGTACTAGATTTTCAAAGTACCTTCGTACCAGCAATCACCATATATGGGTGCACTAGCCACTAAGGATTTTGAGATTTACGAGGGAAATCAAAAAAAAAAATGTTTGTTTATAAATGATTGCAATGTGCGGATGGTTACATGCCTCACAAATTATATTAGTAATGGTAGAAATTAATATTTTTTTTGCATTTATAAATGGTTGGCAGTGGTTAAATAAAATAAAATTGTTATTATGATTGGAAATAATTATTTCTAATTTGTAACTGTATTCACTTTTTGGTCAATATATATTTTTACCAGATACGGATTTAAATCATAGTCGCATTTTTGAATGAAAAGTTAAAAAAATTGTTTGCTGGGTGAAAAAACTTGAAAATGTAATACAACGTTTCTCATAATACTTTGTTAGTGGAAATTAAAAAATGTTGAGCTTAAATCCTCAATAATTTTTTATGCGCTCCCGAAGTTAAGATTTTGACAAGATTCGTTAAAACCACGGACATTTGTAAATTATTTTGAACCAGAAATATTTTATTTATATCTAAGATTTTAAAATGTAATATAAGATTCTCCAAAGTTTTTCTAAAACTTAAATTAAAAATTATCAATTGATTTAACCTATTGTAGTACCTATTAATGCCTAATAGTAAAATTAATTACTTCAAACACAATAGTATCATCACATATACTTAGACTGTATTCGCTCAGAATCGTTTTTCGTACCTGTACAATGATTTTATATAATTGAATTAAAATTTAACACATCCATTATTGCAGTGACTCACTAGACACCAAATGTACAGCAGAGCGTTACCCACATAGGTACCAGCTTATACTTATTAATGTTTCAGTTGCATTTATACGCATATCGGCATAATAATATACATAATATACACTAACCAGAAAAGTTATAGTTTTACGTCGATGAACCAATATAGTGTAGTCTTAAAATATTATTATTTGCCTATGCATTTGAATTAATTCATATCACTGGACAATTTAATTGATTAGAATTGTTTTCTTCTCAGGAGGACACATTAATCCTGCTTTAACTACTGCCATGCTGATCACAAGAAGGATAAGCCCCGTAAGAGCTGTTATGTTCATAGCCGCACAATGTGGCGGAGCAGTTGGAGGCGCTGCGATAATCTACAGGTAAACAATATTTAAGTCACACCGTATCATATTATACTATTATGCAAGTCGTATGATATTTAAATCTTTATTCATTATTATAATACTGTCCTCTGTTCGGATCACGTACATGATATCAAATTCTCATATACCATCATGGTACTATCGGTTTCTAGTGTTTCCGCTCGCAACTACTTCACCAGTCTGTACGACCTGCCGAACAGCAGCACAACCCCATGGCAGCGTTTCAGCCTAGGCTTGCTACTCATGTTCTTCATCGTGTTCACATATTACGTGACTAATAATACGTTTCACAAATGGACCGGAACTTCGGCAACGGCAATAGGAGCAGTGTACTTCGCGTGCGGTCTAGTGGCGGTAAGAACAAATCCAATGATCCCTTATAAATACCCTACGAGTAACTTTTTGCAGATGCCCTTTATTAATCCAGCTTGCGCGTTTGGACCGGCACTTGTGATGAACCATTGGGATAATCACTGGGTAAGTTTAATCATTATTAATTATTGTTAACGCGACATATTTTTTTAAGTAAACGAGTACCCTACTAACTTACTATGTTACACCGAGGCGCAGGCTTAGGGTCGTTTTCAGGGCGGGTATAGAGGGCGTACGGCAGGGGGTGAAATTGTAACAGCTGAGACAAAAATATCAGGACTAAATAAATATAATTGCCTAGCTATTCATTACTTCTAGAAAAGAGTATTTATTGTACCTACTATTAAGCAAAAATTTAAAAGTGAAAAAAAAGTGTAGGTAGGTATATATAGGTAAATATGTTCTACCACCGCGTTGTATATATCAAATTTATACGAATATGAAATGTACCTATGTCCTACAATATTGCTGTATATTTATAAAAGCACATCCACACACCCATAATTGCAAGTTAGTTTCGAAGTTATAGCCTCTTAAAGTTTGCTAATATATACTATTTATTATGCGAGTTACCGCCCCATTCTGGTATTGTGCGGAAGCCTGTTGTACTGAATACTGATCTTAGTTTGTTGATTAAAGTGTATTAGACTGATAAGTGAAAATACTTTCAACTTTTTAATTCTCAAATAACTTTTTTCGACCATCTATCAATTCATACATAGTTAATATTGTAAAATAAATAATAATAATAATTTTCAGTTAATACTTTTAAACTTTAATATTCATACGTAAATATAATACCTATATGATATAAACTATCACAATAATGTGCAGTGGGTGGGAGCCGGGAGGGGTGCACAACTGTACCATAAAATTAACAATGGGTGAAATTTAAGCTATTTTTCGATGTAACGATGGAGAAAAAATTGCAAATTTGATTTTGCAACATTATATTATTACTCTAAGGTTGAGATAACGTGGGTTATGATTATTTTATTAAAATACTTACTACTTCCTAGGTTTATTGGTTTGGACCAGGAGCTGGAGGAATCATTGCAGGCGTAGTGTATGATTTAATATTCAATCCACAAAAACGAAAAGCGACAATAGATGATTTGAATGGTAAAATGTTACACATTGTGCAATTAAAAAAAATCAAATTAATAATATATAATACATTTTATAGATGATGAGAATCTGTGTCAGATACAAGTACCACACAAAATAATTCGACCAGCCCTTTCCCCCCCAATGCTATCTGCTGATTTAGATTTACCAGAGCCTTTGTACGAAGGGAGTAGATCATTATACACTCGTTCACCAGTTTTGACCCGTGCAAATTTAAGTCGTTCGCAGTCACTGTATCATTCAAAATCTATTCATAACTTGCCACCTCGTGATTACTTACCAAGACCAGGGCCATTATTACCAGCTCAATCATTATATCCACAGACAACAACAGCTACTACATTATGCAATGACAGAACAGATAGACTTGATAGGCAAAATCAACAGAATCAACAGAATCAACTAAGGCAACATGAACCCACATATGGTGCTAGGAATTCGTCAAAAGTCAATGCTAGTGGCATCCATAATGGTTTGTAGCTTATGAAATAGATTGTAATGAAAGCATTAATACTATTGCCTGTTTAAAATATTTCCAGGAATATATTCACAAAGCTGTAATAGGTCTGAAACATATAGGCAACCACCAAAAGATTCAGCAGATGATCCATCTTATGGAATTTATGGCAATTCTCAAAATAAATCACAAAATCATCATGGTAATCATTCAAAGAGTGAGTATGTTTACCGATGGACGCCACCAAATTCAGTTATGCACGAGTACTCATGAATGTGTCAATATATTATATTATTATTATATGTACAGTTTGCTATGTGAATACTATTTTCTTAATTGTAAAATAATTATTGTAAATATATTTTATATTAATAATTACTCATTATTAATTACTATAATGGAATTAATAAACTAACATTTCGTTTACTGTATATTTATAATATTACATTATCTAGTAATATCTACCTATCTTATTAATCTATTATAGGAACATATTTAGCTTTTTTCGAATTGAAAAAATACTGTGTTGGTGTATTATGATATAAAGGTTCTGACATGGGAAACAACTTTTGTGCATACCAATGACATGCTTGGATAGGTTGATCACTATTTTTTAAATCATTTAAAGTATTCATTTCTTCATCATTAATGGATGTAAATTCTTCTAGGATACTTTTAAGTTTAACTTCACTACAGTGTACAAATGGACAGCATCCTTCATCAGAAACTTGAATATTTTGTTTCTAAAAAAAAATTAATCTATTACAAATAAAACTTGTCGAAATTCTTAATAAGTTGCTGAGATATACCTGCATTAAAACACAAGATGTCATTTGGTAATTTTTTTTTGATCCTACCATACCGTAAGTATGACGGACATTGTATTCTATTTGCTTGTTATGTTCATCCCATGAATGTGTACATGTACTTTTTAGATTTCCACACTTGGAATATTCCTGTTGAAATATTTTTAAAGTTTGATCTAAAGATACTCCTATATCTTTTAAAAATAATGTCAATCGATAACGTGGATCATGTGCAAGGCGATGGTTTGTGAATAATGAATTTAATGACAACAACATGCAAGGAGGCAATAATATTTTGTTTGAATTGAGTTCTTCTAAAGATATCTGTTCATCAATATTTTTCCAAAAGGCTATTTTAGAATTATAATACCTATTTAATTTCTCATTAAGATATTCAAATTGTAAGTTATTATTATCTAAAGCAGACATAGAACGACGGATTATATGTAATGATTTGATATAAATTAAACGAAATAAATCTACTAGTAAACTGTTCCATTGATTACAGAGTACAATAGCAATGCCTTGAGTAAGGTGTACTTTTCTATTGGAAATTAATGTAAGACATTTTTGCCAAGGAACTGAAAAAATAAAATTTAATTAGTCAAATATGAAACAATTATACATAATATTTGTATTAACAAACCTTCAATAGATTGTATACTACAATTTTCATTACATGGCACATGTTGCTTATCCTTGTATTCTGAACAGACTTTTAGTAATACATCAATATTATCATCAGTAACACTAAAAAGTCCAATTTCGTCTATTATTTTTATTAAGTATTTTCTTAAAAAATTAGGTTTCAATAAATTTAATCGTTCTGATATTAAACGACATTCTCCTTCTATGACTGTCTCCTTTAATGAGTGGTCATCAGTTAAACTTGCATATGTTCTGTAAATATCAATGTACTACTTAATTAGATGAATAATTTTTACCAAACAAATTCTTTAGAGCTAACTATATAACATGGAAATCATAATTATTAGTTAATAGTAGTTATTAGATATTATAATTGCACAGGATCTAGTAATCACTCTTTAAATTATATCTAAATATAATATGATATACTAATTTATTTATTATATAGGTATATTTACTGAAATATCTTTACATGATATCAACATAATCATTTGGCAGAATTTATAATTTATATGGTTGACTATCATTTTAAAATTTAAAATTAACATTGGACATTTGTATTTGTAACATTTTTATCCAAAATAATCATCTAAATAGGTAATCAAAATTTTCCTTTAAAAACTACTAAGGAATAAACTATAATACAATTTATTAAAATGTATATTTAAAAGTAAGTATCCATTCAAATTATTATAAAAAAATAATTTAAATTTTATTTTTAAGAAAAAGTTCATGTATTTTTAGATAGGTATAGGTAGTTTCTTATGGAAATATTTATAATTTTAGGTATATTGCATACTACTCAACAGTTTAACATACTATGTGGAGAAAATTCAATGTAACAGCTACTGAGGTTTGACTCAAAACTATAAATTGTCAATTTTTTTAATCAGAATTATTGAAACTCAAGTATAAAAGAATATGCAGTTACATTATAATAAATATGAGAACAAATATTATTATAATACATTTTTTTACATAATCTAGGATTTTCAGGATTGCTTACTATATGACCAAAATAGGACATCTGGTATCTTTGAATCTTGTGTAAGAAAGTAGTTTTAGTAAGTACCTTCAAACTAGTTCATTAAGATGATGCAACTCATGTGTTTATTGTCTCCGTGTTACTAATGTTCAGGCATAACAAATTTTTGTTCACTAGTTTCAATAGTGTGTTCACAAAATAGATTAAATTTAATCTGTTCTGGGGTGTGTTGTTGATTTTTATATTAGACTGAATTAACCTATTATCAATTTTTTAAGTAAGAACATTAGCCGTACCTAAGCATTGTGGATTTTTTTAAATATTTTAATATTTTAGCGAGATATGGTTACCTATGTGAAATATCACAAATTAAAAATGCTCATATCTCTCTTGAAAATTAAAATATAGAACAAAAACTGATACTTGAGCATAGATAATGTTCTTACCTAAAAGTTTTATAGTGGTTTTATAATTCACTCTAATATCAAAACTAACTGCGTACTGTTGAAACTAGTGAACAAAAATTTGCTGTGCAAGATGGAGACAACAAATACATGGGGTAGAGTCCTCTCAGGGGCATAAATGAGGGGGGTGTAAAAGGGATAGACCCCCCCTTAACTTTTATAGTATATATATAAATAGGCTACCACTCACCACTGTATTTGAAAATGTAGTATTTTGTAAAAATATGTCTATCGCTCCCAGGACAAAGTCCTAATGACACCAATGCGTACTTTTAAGAGGAGTTTCAATTAAATTATACTTTAACTATAATAGTATGTATAACGTTAATTTGATTTTATTTGTAAATTTAAGTTATTATTATTAGAATTAAATAAAAATATTTAAAATAGGTATTCATATTATCTGACAATTTACTAATCCTAAATATGGGTGTATACATAACGCATATTATATACCGTACCAATAGATATACAAATATAAAACAACAAAAGTATAATTTGTATACATGTTTATGAAAATAAATTAGTAATAAGTGATTATAGATCAGAGGTTCTCAAACTATGGTACGCGAAAGGCCACAAAGTGATAGAACGGAGAGTAAATAAATGAATATTTTAAACCGTGTTTGAACACAGTCACATAGAAATAGACATAAAGTGGTATGTGACAGATTAATAATACACAATATGAGTGAGATTTAAAAGTTTGAGAACCGCTGTTATAGATTATAACAGTAGTACCTGCCTATTACAATTCACAACAGCAACTAAACAGATAATAGAGATACATATACATGTACCTAAGTAAATTATTTAAATTAGTGTTGCTTAATAACACACAACATTATTTTCAGTCTAAGTTTACAGTGAGTTTAATAAATATATAAATATACATAAATTACATAAGTACCTAAGGCACAGAAATCCAGTGTAGTCTAGAAGTGTAGAGTTTCTCAGATACAAAGAGTATTTTGGTTTGTCACTTAATTTAGCGTAAGTAGAAAAATGTTCCAAACGAGATAAAGCTGAATCCTCCACATCGAATATGGGTACATTTATATCAGGTATTTGTAAATAAAACATTTTTTCTTATTAATCTTACAGAAATTGAAACCTATGATCACATATATTGACTGTAATGCAATATAACCGTGCTTGTAACACGTTAATAACTTATATAAAACCATGCACTGTTAACTATATTGTTATATTCAGATAAAAAATAAAATAATACCATAAAACATAATGAATTATTAAATATTATTTACGTATAACGTAACGTCTACTCGAATAGCCCTATCTATAGTCTATCCAGTATCTTTATTTAAAATATTAGGTAATTTATTAGTATCACAATTCAAGATAGTACTATCTAAAGCCGCGGCCAGTATCAATATAATTGTTATCGCTTATCTGTAAACAGCTGATTGGATATTTGCATAGACCTTATTAGTCTAAGGTCTATGATGGATATTTGAATCATTTTTACACTTTATAATATTTACATTCATCACAGATATACTATAGAACAATACCTATAGTACACTTGTACAGTAAAGTACAATATGCACTAAACTATTAGATTTTGAGCAGAGCGGTGAATGTATTAATTTCACAATGATGACGTGTGTTTTTTAATTTTAATTTAATTTTTGTGTCTGTCATCACGGTTTGGGGCAGTAAAAGTGCTTGGATTTTTTTCAATAGCAACTTTTCTGGTAGGAAAGCCAATTTGGCAATCTAGTTAGTGTATTCGGGAGGTCAAAATTTAAAATTCTCAATAGTTTTCCAAAGCGACCGGAAAAAAGCACCAACAAATTAAGGAAAAACGGGAATTTTCACTAAAAGTTAGTTTTCGAAAAAATCGTTTCTGATTTTTAGTGTAGGTAACTCTAAAAAAATGACCATAGATAGGTACATGCAATTTTCACTGAATGTTTGTTAGAATTTTTTAAACGCTTTAAAATGTTCAAAATATTTTGACTCGTTGACTTACATTTTCAATTTTCATTTTTTTTCATTTTTTTTCTATAAATGTCAATAAAATTTTATTTGTTCGGTAAAATAGTGTGACAAATGAATACAAGGCTCCTGATATATTGTTAAAATATCAGTTGAAAAATATTAAAAATACAAATGCACGTTTTTGTTTTACTATCATTTAAAGTTCAATTTTTTTTACAAAATTTCTCAAATTGATAATTGAAACATGATTTTGTAGTCAAACATTTATTAAATGTCCAACTTTTATAGCTAAGGATTGAAAATGTAAAACAAGGTTCTATGTAAGAAGTTAATTCTATAACCAGAAAATCTAAAAATAGACATAAACACACATTTTTGTATAGTTATTTTAAGTTCAAATTAGACGAAATAACAACGATTTTAGTCATTTTATTGTAATTTGGTTCCTAAACAACCCAATTTTACATAAGTATAAATAATATTTTTCCAGCATCACTGATAATTTAAGAATATTAGAATACTATTATGAATGAGCTATTGTATTAATAATAAGTAATAACAATATAGACTATCCTAGACTGACTACCGTCTCAGCTCAGAATCGTTTTTCGTATACAATGATGTTATATTATTGAATTCAAATTTAATACTATCGATTACAGCGACCTTCTAGACATCTAATGTACGCCAGAGCGACATTCATTAACCAGCTTTTTTTTTCGTAAATATAAATAATCTGTATGTAGTTCATTGGCTATACGTCTATCCATATATGTATAGAAATCTGTGCTTACAACTTTACATTATAGACATGTTTGTACTAGTTTACACAGATTATATTCTTCTTCTTCTGTTTAGTTTAATGTTATGTTAGTATGTAGTTGTTGTAGCACTCAACAGAGTGTACGTATTGATATCAATACACTTATTGAATGCTAAATTAAAATGTAAAAATATTGCGGGTGGTACGTTTTGCTTAAGACTGTCATAAACGTCTTGATGAGTTTTGACTATTGACAGTTTATGACTTATGAGTTATAAACTTATAACTACTGTGTCAATTGACAATATTATTGTGATAGTACCTACATAAATTTAAACATGTTAAACACACAACACACTTACAAGTATTAAACAATTTAAATAATAATAATAATAATTAAAATACTTAATAAAATATTAATACAGTAGTAATGTTCGGAATTCCGGATGACGGATGTTCCCATACATTTTAAGTTTATTTTAATAATCCGTCGAGTGGTTTGTCATCTACAAATAATATTTTATATTTTACTGATGGTTCGACGGGAGAGACTTATTCAAAGTTTTCAACCCTTGGTGCTAATTCCATTCTCCCTCATAAGTAATAATCACGACTGTACATTTTTGACAATAAACACATTTTATTAACAAAGAGCATCACAGCTCTCAGGACATAGATTGCTTTTCAGTTCGTTGTTCCATAATCGTCGCATAATAACGAGATTAATAAAATAATAAAAGTTTTCCAACAAGATAACTTTATTTGTTACTACACATTATAAACCCAAATATGACCATATAAAAAAGTGACACCCAAGAAGATAAACCCCCTCTGATTAGTTCTTAACTAGTATTTAAAGTTTGATTGCGAGTCTAGAAGTTGACCAATATAATTGCATAATTATTTTCCAATTATTATTATTTTAAAGTGTTGACAGTCGAAGTTAACATATTATACGTAATATACTAATATATGAATATATTATATATATATATACTGATATGTAGGTAGGTATGGGTATTGTTGTATAAATACAAAAACAAAAAAAGAAAGAACTTTACTATCATTTATTTCTAAGGGTTCCTAGGGTACGTTAACCATCGCATACTAAGAACCTATCTATTTGGTTTATTTAATTCAGGTTTTCAATATTATGTTTTTGATTGATGTGAATATAGGTATCATAATAAAAGGTATGTTAAATAAAAATCTATTTTAATAATTAAAAATAAGTACAGATTACAATAAGAATTAAATAATTATAATATTTGTAATATTGTAAGTATAGTAATAATTATAAACTCAAATTTATACATACATAAAGTAATATTTGTTGTGATTGCCACTACCCTAGGCTCTTCTTGAATAAGACTTCAAGAGAGGTGTTGATGATCACAAATAAATTAAAAATTACATTTTATTTCTCAAAATCCATACAAAATTAATTAATACAAATAAATAAATTAAAAGTTTTACATTCGTTCCATTATCTTCGGTAACTGGGATTCTAAAGCCACCTCATTAAGACTAATATTGAATTTAACTATCAGTTAAAAATGCTGTCGGTGTCCTCCTGCTTTAACGAGTACTTTCAGATTGTGAGTGGAGAGTATTGGTTTTTCAATGATGTATTTTTAAATTTTTTTTGTGACTGAAAACTTATTTTATTGTAAAAAAATTAGTAGATCCTCAATTTCAACGTTGGTTGATGGTAGAAAATTATATCTATTTGGTACTTTTAGCATTAAGGGATCAACATCAAATTTCCTGTACTTTTATTAATATTCGGGAAAAATTAAAAAAGAAAAGGAAAAACGGGAATCATAAATTACGCAACACCAATTTTCAAAAAAGTTGTTTTTGTTATTTTGAGGTAGGTAATTCAAAAAAGATTAATCGTAGACACTTGAAATTTTTATTAAATTCCTATAGTCTATATACACACACATTTTTACATATTATTACCTATATAGCTTACAAGATATTTTCTTTCTTTTTGACTTATTAAATTTTTTTAGAAATGTTAATATTTTGCTCTCCCAACAAGTTTGAAAATTTGGGCTATACCCATATTATGCCATTGGATATTCAAACATACAACAACCAATTAAGTTTTTTTTTTAATTTATAAGCCTTTAGTAACACAATAGTTAATAATATAATATTTGTTATTAGTATTTCATGATTATGAATAGGGATTTGAAAATTTTCACCATTACATAATTCTCAAAGTGCTTAGATTACTTTTAAGATAGTTATGCTACGAACCTATATACTATCGATTCTTCAATATTTACTTAAAATATGTAATAGCCGTTAATTGCACTTAAAAAAATAATATTAATTATAATAATTTACTTTATAGTTAATAATATTGTAATAATTATATATTATATAAGACATAATTATTAGATAAATCGATATCTATAATTGCTCTAGAGTAACGAATAATATTGTTTAAAAATATCTTAAAAGTATACGTAGAAAATAACAACATATGAACTTTTGCAGCACCAAATATTTATTTATCAAAATACTTTAACACAAATATACTTTTTTCTGTTATACATTTTTTATTTTTTTACAAATTAATGGGAGATATAATTGCCGGGAGAAAAGTTTTTCGTTTAAGATTTCAGTTGCGTAATTCAAATAAAAAAATATTTACACAATACCAATAAACAATAGTAGAAGTTTTGTCACGAAAATGTGATTTTATTGTTCACCATGCAGAGTAAACCAGAGAAGAGCATTTATACTAAATGTTATAATGGGTATTTGAAAAAAAAAATGTCAACAATAATATTGACATTTCAAATTTAAAAAATGTTGATTTTTGTATTAATTAATACAATAAGAAAGTGCTCATCATTTAGTTGGTCATAGAAATGGATATTGTTATAAATTTGAATTCAAAATAAATCATAGAATAGGTACAGAAAACGATTCTTAGCAAAGATTGACTGTCAGCCTATATTTCTAAGGATTTTTTATTATATAGACACTAGCTGTAGTTGAATGTAGTCCGGCTTCGTTGTGTGCTGTTATTTTTGAGACAAATTCTATAAAGTATATACGCTATATATCCATATAAGCGTATTTTGGTTTCAGTGTACCTCAGTTCACTGAGAAATAAGTATTTTTTCAATTAAAAAATTTTTTTTTGTATATAAGTTACAAATTTATATTTGATTTAAATTTTAAGATATAGTTTCTTTAATCGAGGCCATATAAACCTTAAACCCAACAATTTGATGTATCCTTGTACCTGATCTGCTCGAATAACCAATGTCAAACATACATTTGCAAAAAGAAATTAAAAAAAATACCAATTTCTACTATTACACCGTAGGTA